AATCACCCCTGAACCATAGAGCTGGCCCCATGTGTTCAAGTAGAGGAAAGAGTTGCCCTCCTGGCTTCTTACTCCCCATTGCTAGGTTGGCTGAATGGGACAGCCTTTGGGCTGACATCTACAAGACAACTTCACATAGTGGGAGGGGTTATCAAATGGCCTGGTAAGGTTAAGGGCACTGGACTCCCACATGGCTGGCTGACTGCAGTTTAAGTCCTGAACCTGGTGGCTCACTTTCTGGCTTTCTCTCTCTCTGGTTGAATGAGTGAATTAAGTAAATGAATGAATGAATAAAAAACATAAAAGTTAAAATTCTAAATAGTGGGAAAGTGAAATTATGAAGTATGAGCTTATTTTGGTGTGTAACATTGAAAACTGAGTGTGTCCATGAACTTCAAGCCCTCATAAGTTCTCTGGTTGGAAGTCACCTGCTGAAACTAACCCCTGGGGATTTGTGCTCTTTTCCCCCCTCCTTGGCCCCATCCAGGATTCACTCCTCTGGTGTTGCCTGAAGGGTGGAGGAAGTTCCAGACAAGGAGGGCTGGCAGGTGCCACCAGAGTCAGGTAAAGACTACTGGACTTGGCAGCTAAACTCGGCAGTCTGGCCACTGACACCCTTAGCAAGTGGAACAGGGAAACAGAAGACACATGACGAGGGGCAGTGGAGAGGAAGGTTAGTGTGGTCGTTTGCAGTATGGCAAGAGGGACAACCGGGCAGGGTAGGGGGTCAGAGAATAATCTTTTTGGGCAAGAGCTTTGGTACTTTTTTTAGACTGAGGAGGCAGAGTATGAAGTTGAAGTTGGCGATGGGTCAGACAACTTCGAGAAGGACACAGGACAAGCATTCAAAAATCTTAGTTCTGGGAACCAGCAGTTAGCATAATGGCTATGTCGCTGGACTCCCACGTAGTTGACCACGGTTCACGTCCTGGACCCCGGTGGCTTAAAACTCACGCCAGGCGCGTGTGCGTCCGTGCCCAAGATCCCGAGAGGAGAATGGAGAAGGGATTGTGATGTGACCATCCCCCCTGGGGAGTGATTTCTCGCTTTCTGTCTCTATGTCTGTCTGTCTGACAAGCACATGTGCCCTATAGCGAAAACCTCTAAACAAAACAAAAAAAACTTAGTTCTAGGACTTTTGAGAGGTTTTTGGTATAGGGCATATGCGCTCGCCAGAAAGAGACGTAACGTGATAAATAACCCCCCGGGGTGTGTGTGGGGGGGGCGGTAAGGACACACCACAATCCCTTCTCTTCTCCTCAGGAGCTTGGGCATGGCACACATGCAGCGAGTTTAAGCCAACGGGCCTGGGACTCAAACCGCAGTTGACTATGTAGGAGTCCAGCGACATAGCCATTATGCTGATGGTCCCTGGAGTTAGACCTATTGGCCTGAAACCAACTTCCATCTCTCCTGGCAGGGGTTTCCCTATTTTGCAGGCTTATGTTGCCACCTGCTGGAAGGCCCAATGACAAGCATGGTAAGAACCATTCCCTGACATAACTTCTAAAATGGTTGCAAAACCTACCAAGTGGGAAACCAGGCACCTAAACCTGACAGCTGTTCAGTTTAACTCTTCTGGCCCTGCAGAGTAACCACTTTCTGTCCTTGTTTTCATCCCACCGGAGATTGCGATGGGCTGATTCCTTCCCTTAAAGGGAGGGGCCAGCAGCAGTAGTAGTAAAGGCGCAGGACTCCCATGTACATGACTGTGGTTTGCCAGACCCGATGGCTTCAAACTCCTGCTGGGTGTATGTGCATGTGCTCCCCAAGTCCCAAGAATGGACTATGGTTGTTGCCATGCCCTCTGTGGGGTGATTTCACTTTGTCTCTCCTATAGCAAAAATGTCTCAAAAAGGGGGAAAGAAATGGGGTCAGTAGGTGGCATGGAATTTGAAGGGTTCCCTGGGACCAGCAGTTGGTTAAATGGCTGTTGCTGGACTCCCATGAAGCTGTGTGGTTATAGTCCTGGACCTAGTGACTTAAACTCAAACCAGGTATGTGCGTGTACCTAAGATCCCAAAAGGAGAATGGAGAAGGGACTGTGGCTACCCCTGGGGGGTGGTGGTGGTTTCTAGCTTTCTGTATCAGTCTCTCTGGTGAGTGCACTGTTCCCTATCGCAAAAACCTCTCCAAAAAAAGAAAACGGCTCCCACATGGCTGACTATACACTTGGGAGCCCCAGACCTGGGACTTCCCCTCTCTGGTGAACACTCTCGTGCCCTGTAAAACATTTATTAATTCTGTAAGAAATGAAAGAAAATGGGGGGGAGGCAAGAAGTAACAGTTAAGAACCCTGGACCAGCAGATGTCATGGAACTTAAGGCGGCTGGATTCCACAGGGTCTGTCAACTGTGTGGTTCGAGTTCTAGGCCCAATGGCTTGAAAAAATACTTCAGCAAGACCAGGAGGTGGCGTGGTGGTTAAGGGCACTAGACTCCCACATGGCCATGGTTCAAGTCCTGGACCTGCTGGCTTTGTTTCTCTCTGCCCGCTGATCAAAATTAAAATAAGTCAAATAAAATAACTCCTTGGACCAGCAGAGGGTGTAACGGTTATGTCACTAGACTCCCATGCAGTCAACTGCAGTCCAAGTCCCAGACCCAGTGGCTTAAACTCATGCTGAACATGTGTGCATGCATGCCCAAGATCCTGAGAGAATAGAGAAGGGATTGTGGTGTGGCCATCCCCTCTGGGGGCAATTTCTTGCTTTCTGTCTCTCTAGCAAGCACACATGCCCTATAGCACCCCCCCAAATAAACTATTTAAAAAAAAAACTTCAGGTATACATACCCCAAATTCTGGGACTGGAGACTGTCACATGACCTTTCCCCTGGGGGGGGGGGTTACTTCTCACTTTCCCTTAGTATTTTTTGGCAAACACCCACCCTGTACCTAGAGGCAAGAACCTTTGTAGAGGGCTGAGGTAGGTCTTGTATACTTCAAGGTCATACAATTGGAAGGTTTGTGGTAAATGTCTACAAAAAAAACCATGCGCTTAAATGGTTAAGACTGGTGGTTATGGCAAGGACCAGTAGTTGGCATGGTGTGAAACATTGACTTCCATGTGGCCGTGGTCCAAGTCTCAATCCCAGTGGCCTGCCCCTCCCCTCTCTGGTGAGCACATGTGAGGAAAAAAATATATATATATATATATATATCTATCTCCTAAGTAAAGCCAGCCCTAATTCTGAGAAGACTGCATGGTAATGAGGGCCCTATTTGATGACTGAAAGCATCTAAAATTTCTCTTGAAGACCATTCAGAAAAGACTTGGCACCACTGGGGATCCCATAGCTAGCTCCCATGCCACAATGGCCAAAGCAGGGCTTGTACCCTCACCCTCAGATGAGGAGGAACAAGCCATGGGACAGCACAGGCTCTTAGGTCTCCCCACCTAAACAGTGACACTCAACCAGGGCAAAACCTAACTAGCCATTTATATTTACAAGGTTGCCTTCTAAATTTATTAAATTCCACTGAATTTACTAATTCAAACATGTTCATGAGCCTGGCTATCTAGGTTCATTTTATATGGTTTCCAACTAAATTCATCACAACTATGTTAATCCCTTTACTCAGACCTCTCCCATAGCCTGACCTTTTTAAAATCTTGCCAGAGGGCGTAGGCACTTGCCAGACAGGAAGAGGGAGAAAATACCCCCCCCAGGATTTGGGGCACATATGCAGACACATGCACCAGGTGTTTTCCAAGCCATTGGGTTTCAAACCCAAACTACAGCTGGCTATGGGTGACCCAGCTCCTTTAATCACCAAACCATAGGATGGCCCAACCTTTAACATTTTTTTAAAAAAATTAAGAGATTTTTGCATCAGGGCACATGCGCTTGCTGGAGACAAGAGAAAGCAATCAATCACTATGGCTGGTTCTAGTCCCCACTCCATTCTCCCCTTGGGATTTTCAGCACATGCACACGCCTCCGGCATGAGTTTCAAGCCTCTGGGTCTGTGACTGGAACAGCAGTCAGCCGTGTGGGAATCCAGCAATGTAACAATACCATCTGCTGGTCACCAGTCTTTAGGTGGCAGGACCAGAAGGTGGTGTGGTGGTTGGGACACCGGACCCCGACATGATTGATTAGGGTTTACTGGAGGTTTGTTTTCTCTTTCCCCTCTCTATCTCTAGTCAAATTTAAAAATAAAATAATCCTTAAAAAAAAAAAAAGTGGGAAGCATACAGTGCTCCCGATGTCTAGTGATTTTATGTATTACTAAAGGAGACAAAAGCTAGCCAGTCCCTTGGATTGGCAGTCCCAAGTCTGCACTAGTGCATTCATCTAATGTGAATTCCGTGCTTGCTAAGATACTACCCAATTTCGAAGCTGATGCTGTCAATTTTACTAACAGACCTGACTGATAGGCTCCTGCAGTCCTTGCCACAGCATGTGCTCAGGACACAATTCTCAGGCCTACTGGCCATAGGGGGGAGCTTTCAAATAACCCTCCATTCAGCACACAGAGGACTGCAGGAGCTGCTCACTTCATCAGCCATTCACCCAAATTCATGGAGCCAAGCAGCAGAGCTGGCTCTGCCATGTCCCTCAGTGACATCCAGGAAATACATTCTAGGAAGTACAAATCTGGCACCAGAGTTTAGGACTTTTTTTAATTTGTCCTAAAGTCATCGAAGCAAAAATCATGATAAAACATTCTGCTTTCCTTTACAATTGCCCAACGCAGAAAAAAAAAAAAAAAAACCTATTTGTAGGAAAAAAAAGGTTTTGTACATGGGATGAAACAATATAAATTCAAAACTTACAGATAAGGGTTAGCTCTATCGCTCATCTCTTTAAAAAGTTTATATGAATATCCAGTCAAAACCAACAAGAGTATCTCCCTTGAAACGTTATTTCTACGGCTTTCCAAGTAGACCACAGGACTGCACAATGTCTTGGAATGTCCTCAGAAGGCTCTGTCAGTGATCAGGTAACAGAGTAAAAACCCCAGAGTCCTTTCTTTCAAATGGAAGAGGAAGACAGAGGGACAGAGAAACTATTCAAACTTCGTCTTCTTTCCTTGTGGCTTGTGGTCTCCTCCTCCTCCTCTGCCTCCTCGGAAGCCACCTCGCCCTGCAAGAAGGTAAAACATTAAATGGGTGAAAAACTGCAGCCTACCTGAGGGATAGTAACACAGCGCTGGTTCTGAAACACATGTGCCATGTGGTGCCAGCATAGACACTGGGGTTGCCTCCATCTCCCTTACCTCCAAAGCCTCCTCGGCCTCTGCCACCAAATCCACCTCGGCCTCCTCTGCCTCCACCTCGGCCTCCAAAGCCTCCTCTGCCTCCACCTCGACCCCCGAAGCCACCTTCACCCTTAGGCTTGGCCCAGTCCAAGGTAACTTTGTTTCCATCAATTTCACCATCTTCCATGGCCTCCTTGGCAGCTTTGGCATCTTCTTCACTGTTGAAGTCTACAAAACCAAACCTAAAAACACCAAATAAACAACCCATTGTAAAGCTGGCACACAATGACCAAGAACCAGGTTAACCTCCCAGGGATAATGATCCCACGGAAGCAGACTAGGCTAAAAAGTCACAAGCCTTTATCAGATTATTCCCCCAAAAGAATCTGAGAAATTACATGATGCCAGCCATTTTCAGTCGATTTACATCCAAAAACTGGCTTTGTATCCCTATTTCACCTCCCTCATTCTCTTTGCATTCCACTTCTTTCTTCCCCCATTCCTTTTACATCCCATTTCCCCTTCCCCCATTCTCTGCCCTTTAAAAGAATAAACCTGAGGCTGGTTATGGTCGCAATTTCTCCATCAGAAAAGTTGTGCCCACCCAATCCTTGCTTTTCTATACGTGTATGTCTTTGTGTGTTTTGTTATTGTGTCTATTTCTAATCCGCAGCCTTCCCCACTCAGAAAAACATGTTCATGCTGAGTGGGCATCAGTACTTACTGAGGAAAACCAAAAGTGATAGAGCTGCTCCCTATGGAAACTTATAACTGGCTGTAGAGCCAACGTGAATTCTGTTTTGAGGGTGGTTTTTGCTATAGGGCACGTGTGCTCTCCAGAAAGACAGAGAAAGCAAGAGATCACCCCTTGGGGGGACGGCCATGCCGCAATCCCTTCTCCATTCAAAAGACCTTGGGCACGCATCCACAAATGCCTGGCCTGAGTTTAAATCAAGTCTGAGATTAGAACCGCAGTTGACTACATGGGAGTCCAGCAAGAGCCATTAGGACATCTGTTGGTCCTGCGCCAACTTGAATTCTTTAATAGAAATGTCTCACAAAATAGCCAATATACCCCTGTAAAGACAGAGATAAAAAGTATTGCTACTTCTGTGAATTGTCTCTTCTTCTCGTGCGAATCCATTAACTGCCACCAGTGGACAGAAAGGAGCTCAATGAGAAGGCATGTTAAGTGTTAAGGTCTCTGTCACATAGTAGAGAGGCATCGCGGGCAGAAGCGGAAGTTAACTATATTTCCTGCACCTTACCCTTTGGAGGATCCTGTTTCCCGGTCAGTGACTATCCTTGCACGAACAGAGCCGTCAAAAGACTCCTTTAATGTCTCTTCGGTGGTATCCTCAGACAGACCTTTGACAAACAGAGTTTTGGAGGGCTCTGCTGGGAGAAAAGTCATACCTTAAGTCACAATTCAAGACACTGAATCGGCACAATGTCTAGTGTAATTGCTGACCAACTGCTGACTTGTATTAGTGGGAAAAGCAGTTAAAAACAGTCAACCAGTGCCCCAGTAAAGAGCTTATATCGATAACATACTGAGTTTAACTTTTCCCATTATTATAGTTGAGACTTTGTGCTAAAACTATGGGAAACAGGAACTGCAATACAAGTTGAACACCTCTGACAGTACAGGCCAAAAAACCACAGGCAAATATGTAGCTGAGTTGACATAGCTGGATCAGAACTTGACTATCTAGAGGAATTTTCTTGAGATTTCATCAATTATTTCTCAGATAATCAGTCATCATATCCAGTTATTGTTCACTCAGTAGCAACAAAGCAAGGCCATTTACAATGTCATTTAATAAATGCTGAGACATCCTCCATACACAACATGCCATCAACAGTAACTTACGACTTCTTGCATTAGGTGATCCCCTGGGTCCTTGCAGCTCCAACCTGATTGCTCTGCCTTCAATTTCCCTTTTATTACAGGAATTTAAAGCTTCTTTAGCGTCTTCAAATGAAGCAAATTCTATAAACGCATACCTGAGGATGGAAAGTCAATACTTAAAAATTGAGTCTAACTTCCCAAGCACCCAGCTCCTACGCTATATGATCCCATTAAAGCCTCTTCCTCAATTAGGTAAATGCGCTTTACTTTACAGGCTATTAACAGCTTGTTTACAGGAAAGCATTTTTCCCACAAGGTATGTGTGCTCACTGTACAGAGAGGGAAAGGAAGAAAGCACACCCCCAGGGGCAATAGTCATGCCATAATCCTCCACATTTCTCCTTTTCAACTGTGAGTACACATGCACCAACACATGTACATACAGCCAAGTTTTTCAAGCTGTTAGGTCTGACACCAACTGTAGTTGGCCATGGGGGACCTAGCTGCCTTAACTACCATGATACTCCTGCTCATACAATGTTACTAAAAAAGATATTCTTCTAGCACTTAATGGCAAAATAGAAGTCAAATTATTTACCCTTTAGATTTGCCATTTTGGCTCTGAGGCACTTTGATAAAAGTTGCCTTCTCAAATACTTCCTGAAGCGTTTCTTCAGTTGCATTGTAGGAGAGGTTGCTCAAAACCAGAGTTTTTGATTCACCTGAAAAGAGATGCCATATCCATAAAATTCTGAAACAGCAGTTCCTATCTTCAATCGCAGCAACATTATCTTGTTACTAAAAGGACTTTTGTGCCTGGGGCTGAACTTGAAATCCCTCATCTGGGCTTGAACATACTTAATACCGCTACATACCAATCGGTTTCTTTCTATTCTTTTCTTTTTTGAGAGTTTTTTTCCCTTTGCTATAGGGCGCATGTGCTCACCAAAAAAGACAAGAGGCAGAGAGACAGAAAGTGAGAAATCACCCCCCAGGGGAAATGACCACGCTGCAATCCCTTCTCCTCCATTCTCCTCCCGGGATCTTGGGCATGCACGCACATGCGCCCGGTGTGAGATTAAGCCACCAGGTCCAGGACTTGGAACCACAGTCAATGCATGGTGCATGGGAATCCAGTGACATAGCCATTATTCCAACTGCTGGCACCTATTCTTACTGTTCTTCAGTGCACCCTGAGCACTGGTCTATGTTGTCTTAGAACAACATTAATTCTAGAATAGAACACATGACTAATTAGAAAAGACAGTCATTCCCTGCTATCTGTGGGGGAATCAGTACCAGGACCCCTAATAGATACTGGAAAATCTGTAAGTACTCTAGACCCTTATGAAATGGTGTTAGTGGTACTGGCCCTGAACTGCAGCGATTAAGCTCTACGTAGGTGACCATATCCCACATGGCTGACCATGGTATAAATCTTGGCCATGGTGGCTTGAAAAAAACCTTGAGTCTAGGTGTTCCCCAAATCCTAACAGGATGGAGAAACATATGAAAAAAAGACTGCAGCATATTTGCACTCCATTTGAGGGTGTGCTTTCTCCAGAGCATGAATTCTAGCAAAAAGACTTAACTATGCACATCCTCTTGTACACTTTGAATTGTATCTTCGGAACTCCTAATACCTAGTGTACTATGAAGGATATAGAAGTTATGCTCTTCAGAGAATCATGACTTGCATAGACATAACGACAGTACATACTAAAAAACAACCAAAATATTTCCCACAGATATATACAAGGCCAGCCTTATCCACAATGAAAGATAGACCTGCTCACTTGCTCACTATGTTCTAATACAAAGTGGCTTCAGAGCTCTTGTTCGAGACTGGAAATAACTGTTATAAATAGAGGTACAACTTACTTCGATCTTTGTTTATACTTAATTACTCTGGATAAATTATAAAATACAGCTATGAGCTGGATAACCTACCAATGAAAAACCAGACACTGAAACAGGTTGTAAGTTTATGTTTAAGTGTACTCTTCATATCTGAAGGATAAAACTGCTTAATGGTGCATTTCTCTGGCCACATCCTTATGAAGTGATATATGGCTGTTCTTATAATCAGCCTGTAAATTCTTACCACTCCAAGTGCTATTCTTTCCACCTCTATAGTCTTGATTTTGACCTTTCTCTCCAGTGTAGTATAGAGAAATAGACCGCCCATCAATCTCTGTTCCCTGCTTTTCTTCAAAGGTTTTCTCTGCATCAGCTTCTGTCTTAAATTCAATGTAGGCAATCCTGCAACAGTGAAGAAATAAAACTTTTTTGAAATCATATTAAGATTTGACCTAAGCAATATAATCCTTGCTTTAGAGCTGATCATAATGCCAGGTTTTAGGCTAACTGAAACACTCATGTTTCTTCCACTTTCCAATTAAATCAAGATTCCTTCCTCCCTCCTACCACAGAATGATAGATCTATCTGGCAAGTTTTTTCACAGTAAACTCACCTCAACATTACTTACAAAGCATCTATTGTAACCTTGGTATGTTTCCTACTCCTTTAGAGGTATTAGCTCAATTTACATCTTACTCGGTTTGCTATAAGGCACTTGTCAGAGTAGAGAAAGTGAGAAATCATTCCCGGGGTGGATGGCCATACTGCAATCCCTTCCCCTACATTCTCCTCTCAGGATTTTGGGCAGGTACATGGGTCCAATATGTTTTTCAAGCTACCAGGTCTGGGACCTAAACAGCCCAGTGTACCATGTGTGACCTAGCCATCTAACTCCTCATCTATATTAGTTTTATTTTAAAGAGATTTTTGGCAATAGGGCATGTGCACTCACTGGAGAGACCAAGTGAGAAATCACCCCCCAGCAGGGATGGCAATCCCTTTTCTTCCACCCTCCTCCTGGGATTTTGGGCACACACATAAGACACACATGGCCGGCTTGAGTTTTAAGCCACCAGGTCCAGGACCAAGTCGACTATAGTCAACTACATGGGAGTCTTGTGACGTAACCATTATGTCATCTGTTGGTCCCTTAGCTCTATCCTTTTAAAATCACCCCAGGAATTAAACCATTACCCCCACTGTACAAATGGAAAGTTGAGGCATAAGTTTATAGGTTTATATAGCCCCAAATCACATAGAAAATCAATTACTTCTAACTCAAAATGAGTGTGTTCATGATAATCAACATTCCAGTATACACAAAACATACCCTTTACTTTTTCCATCTTTGCTGATTATTCTGATCTCCATGGCATCTTCAAATACTTCTTTTAATTCATCTTGAGTGACTTTGTAGGGGAGATTTTTGGCCAAAAGTGTTCTTGCATCTCGATCTGGATAAGAGTATAGAGATTTGAACTTCACAAAGGCTACTATACACTACTTCTGATATCCCTGATAAGTCGTTTAAGTTCTGCCATAGGGTGCATAAGCTCACCAGAGGATGGGAGTGAGAAATCACTCCCTTCAAAATCACCCAAGTGGTGATGGTTATACGGCAATCCCCTTTCCATTCTCCTCTAGGGATTTTGGGCGTGCATGCACAAGTACCAAGCTTATTTCCAGCCACCATAAATATCATGCCACATGGTGGCTTACCTTACATACCTTTCTTATTATCTTTTCCTTTTGGTTTCTCCAGTTTAATTTCATTGCCAAAGACTTTTAAACCAGTGAGTTCCAAAGCTTTTTCTAGATCTTCAGCAGATTCAAAGTCAACATAGCCAAACTTCCTTTAAAGTGAAGGTCAAAACACAATGTAAAGAAAAAAAAAAAAAAAATAGGCCAAGAAACAGAAAAAAAGCAAAAGTCACAGAAGATGTTTTCTGAGCATCAGCAACATTAATGTCAATAGTTAAAAAAAATAAAAAACAAGATTAGCATCTATAGCATTAACAAAATAAACATCAAAGTTCTGCAAATTGTGGCTACTAGATTAAGACCTAACTACTAAAAGACATGAAATGCAAATTTATGGTTGATGTCTTCATTTTTGGCTAAGCTATTTTTAATGATAATAGCTGTTAATAACAAAGCTGCTTGAGCATGAAGAGAACCCTCTGCACAAAAGCACTGATTATGCTATTTAGGTTTAAACATTTAGGTCTTTCCGATAAAATATATTTTATTGGTTACAAAAATTCCAATGTAGGGGACTGTCATTAATCCATTAGTATCTAGTATTTGAAGATGCTTTCATATGCCTATGTAATTTACTCACCTAGATGTCCCGATTCTGACATCCACGACAGCAAGATCATTTTTAGCAAAAACATCACTGATACCAGTTTTTAATTCAGGGATAGATTTGTTATTGTTCAGGTTTCCAACAAACAGATGAAAGGATGTAGTTGGTTCTGTGGCTGTAGAAAAAGTAAACTCCTGTTAGTCCATTTTTAAATTATGGCACCAAACTAATTTCCAGCACTAAACTTCAACACAGCACATCAGCACATTGCAAATGTAGCATCAGGTTTCAGTATTAAGTCCCTATATCAATCATCATTTGTGCTATCAGACTTCATCTCCCCTCCCCCATCATGCCCAAACCCTGCAAGTTACCTTCCACCTTCTGTTTCTTGGCCTCAGGAGCTGCTTTCTGTTTGGTCATTTCCTTCTTTCGTTTTCCAGGAACTTCTTTGACAGGCTCTGTAAAATATTTCAAAAATGCCATCTATAAGTAGCCACATATGCTTAAAAACATCCTTCACACCTAGTTTAGGTTAATGTACTTCAGAATCTAATTTGATACCTTCTTCCTCCTCATCTTCCTCATCCTCATCGTCGTCATCATCGTCGTCATCCTCATCTTCCTCATCATCATCCTCATCCTCATCATCCTCTTCATCTTCATCTTCAGCCACAGTCTTGGCTTTGACAGGTGCAGCTTTTGCAGGAGCTTTCTTTCCTTTGGCTGGTGTGGTCTCCATAGCTTCTTCTTCAGATTCTGCAGGGAGAAGTTACATATTCAAAAACTCAGTAAAAAATCTACCACCACTAATCCTAGTTCCTAGTAGATCTAAAGAAAAGGAAACGTGGGGCCCAGCAGATGGTGTAATGGTTACATCATTGGACTCTCACATAGTTGAGCAACAGACCCGGCGGCTTAAAACTCACACCAGGTACATGTGTGTACGTGCCCAAGATCCCAAGAGAATAGAGAAGGATTGCAGCATGGCCACCCCCTGAAGCAGCTTACTTTCTTTCTCTCTGGTGGTAAGTGCGCACGCCCAATAGCAAAAAGAAAGGGACTATAGACTAGGATAAAGTTGTTAAGGTGGCTTGATCTCACATGGTCAACTGCACAGTTCAAGTCCCAGACCCCATGGCTTGAAAAACAGGTTGGGCACCTGTGCATGTCCCCCATAGAGGGGTGGTGTTTTCTTTCTCTCTATAGGAATGTATCAATACCCTGTTAACAATATTTTAGGATTACAAAAAAATTATAGGCCATGTCTTAAACCTCACCAGAAACATGGAGACAGGAGAAAGTGAGACATTACCCCCTGGGGGGCTGGCCAGACCAAAATCCATTCTCCTGGGATTGGGGACAAGCACATACACACAACCTGGCATGATTTTCAAGCAGCTGGGTCCAGGACTTGAACCACGGTTGGCCATGTGGAAAATAGCACTTTAACTATCACACCACCTGCTGGCCCCTGACCTTTAACAAATTCAAAAAGAAGCAAATGGAATCCTACTGTGCTTAGTTAAAATTTATTGGGAGGCGAAATCCTATTAATAAGCCCAGCCTTGGTGGTGCAGTTAGTAGCATACTGTAGTGCTAGAAGCCCCATGATTGACCCTGGGTTCAGACCTCCAAGTCAACCTTAAAAATATGGGAACATGCATACACCCAGAAAAGGAATCATGGTGTGATGCGACCTTATCAAGAGTGCCCATCTTTCTCATGAGATTAAAAACACTGTTCCACTCAATTATGAAAAATTCAACATGGATGGACAGGAAGCATTTTTTTCAGCAGGGAACCAGTAATACATCAAGTCACACATTACAACAGTCCAGAGAATCCCAGGTTGCCCACAAAAACTTACAACCACCAAGAAAACTCCTTACCATCTTCCTCATCCTCATCTTCCTCCTCATCCTCATCTTCTTCCTCCTCATCATCCTCATCTTCCTCCTCTGAGGCTGGGGCGGCAGCTGCTGCTTTCATCACTGCTGGCTCAAATTCATCCTCATCTTCATCCTCGTCTTCATCATCTTCCTCACTGTCATCTTCTTCCTCCTCATCACTGTCTTCCTTCTTGGCATTCTTGCCATTCTTTGCCCCCTTGGCTGCAGTGGCAGCTCCTTTCTTACCAGGAGTTGCTACCAATGCTTTGCCTGGTGTGGCTCCCTTCTTGCCAGGTGTTGTGACTGCTTTGGCTGGTGTAGCGGTCTTCTTGGATGGTATGGCAGCTGCCTTTTTGCCTGGGGTGACTGCTGCTTTCTTGGCAGGTGTGGCAACTGCAACCTTTTTTGTTGGAGAAACTACCACCTTCTTTGCTGGAGTTGTGGCAGCCTTTTTACCTTTTTTCTGAGGGATGATAACCTTAAGAACAAACAAAATAAAAGTATAAAACACATATCCAAAGAGCCATGGTCCCAATTGTTAGACTCTTGGTACTACCTCTGGTTCAAGGCATGCAGGGGCCAACTCCATGGTGCAGCAGTAATGCACTAAAAAGAAGCCAGATCCTATGTTGTGACCATGGTTCAAATCCCTGGCCCTGTATGCCTAAAACACACCAGGAACACACAAATGCCCAAGGCCCAACAAGCTGGAAGACTGTGATCATGGCATGACCAGATACTTCTCTTATTCTTGTGTGCAGTCTTTTATAACACTCAAAATACCTCAACAGGACCTCTAAATTACTGAAACTCATATCCCATTAAGATTTTTCTTTTTTGGTTAGAAATCCATTCATTGTGGTCTGAAGCATGAACAGACTTAGTAATGCCAAAGTATACAACAAGAGCAAGACAAAAAGAATGACTCTGGGGAGCTGTTTCCCCATACTTAGCTATCCATGTCCCTCAAGAGTTAGAATTCACTATTTGTAGCATTCCTGAGGCTATCCCAATGAGAAGAGAGTTGTGGGTTGTTCCTTCCAAATGAAATGGCCATTCCCTGCTGAGATTCCAGGACAGCCAACAGACTATAGGAAGATAGTCCTTTAGGCCTCTGCTTGAAACCAACAGCTATAGTGTAACTGCTGGTCTTCAGTCAGGACCACCCCATTAAGATTTTTCTATAGGGCGCATGCACTTGCCAGAAAGAGAAAGCGAATATCACCCCTCAGGAGGGATGGCCACTCCGCCATCCCTTCTCCTCCATTCTCCTCCCGGGATCCTGGACACACATGCACACGTGCCCAGCATGAATTTAAGCCACCAGGTCTGGGACTCAAACTGCGGTTGACTATGTGGGAGTTCAGTGACATAGTCATTAAGCCAACTGCTGGTTCCCTCAAGTTAATTCTTGCAGGGCCCAGCAGGTGGCATAGTGATTAAGGTGCTGAACTCTCAGTTTGAGTCCTGGACCTGGCAGCTTGAAAATCACACTAGGTGTATACGCATGTGCCCCCCCAAATCCCAGGAGGTGAGTGGAGAAGAGAATGTGGTGTGGCCATCCCCCTGGGGGGTTGGTTGTGATTTTACTTTCCCTCTCTTTGAGTGCATATCCCCTATGGCAAAAACGAAATTTCCCCTCATAAATATTTGTAATTTTTTTCAAGGTTCTCCTAAGTGATAACAAGAGTAGAGCATCCCTTTATAGGGTCTGGTTACACCATGACACCTTTCCTCTGGTCTGTTGAGTCTTAACATTTGTGCACATGACTGGTACCTTTCAGGTAACTTGTGCTAGGGATTCAAATTGCAGTTTTGACACATGGGCTCCAGCTTTCCTTGAGCTGTGCAATACTGCTGAAATAAGAGCAGCCCTCTCATATCTTTTTAAAACCCAGTCTTGGGGCCAGTAGGTGGCGTGGTGTTTAGGGGTGCTGGACTCCCACATGACCAACTGCCGTTCAAGTCCTGGACCTGGTGGCTTACTTTCTCACTTTCCCTCTCTCTGGCCAAATTAAAATAAACAAATAAATGTAAAAAACAAACAAACAAACAAAACCCGTCTTATCTAAAAATAGCATCAATCTTATGTGTTTTTTAAAGGGATCATTAACCAATTAAAAGATTCAAAACTTTACAGGAAAAAGGCTCAAAGTGTTAACTGTTATTAGTAAATAATTTAGGAATCTTACAGTGGGTGCTAATACAGATCTCAAAGTTAAAACTCTTTGGAATCTAGGATAAAATATCAAACACTAAAGATGAATAACACCAAATTTTAGAACAAAAGAGCATGTTAGCTTGATTAAAAACCATTATCCATATTTAAGTCCCACTTTTTGTTGATTACTAGTTTTATTGAGTAATGCATGAAAGAAAACTATTAAATTCTGGACAAACTGTAGTGGTTTGTCCTGAAAATAAACAGCAGTCAAGAATGCTAAGGAGAAAACAAGGGGAGGTGACAGCCCTCAATTCAGGGATTCATGGAGACCATCATAAAGTTCATGAAAAATGTAATTAAAGCATGAATTTATTTTGGTGAAAAAAAGAATCAAAACCATGAAGCTTCAACACAATTCAATTTCCATGAACTTTTTGGTAAGACAACTCCCCCTTCACAACAGAGATTAGTGTTACAAAGTCTGTATACAAGGAGTAAGGACCGATTCTTCTTGACTGGAAAACTGACATCTGGTAAAGTTATCCTCAGGTTCACAATTATCTCACTCAACTCTTGTCACTTAGAGAACAGATCTTATCCTCTCCTAGCATATGAGACTAAGATTACAATGCTGCAACTGGAAAATGTGATGATTTAAAATCACTCTAAATCCTGCAGGACACATGAAAAGGAGCCGTTTGGATCTTTGGTCCCTCAATCTCATATTCAAATACTTCCCCAAATGTTATCTTGGTATGTCTTTGAAGGGCCGGTGAAACATTCAACCACTACAACAGACCATACATGAAGTTTTCAGATTTTCAGACACCTGACACCACCTATTTCAACTATCAATTTTATAGTTTTAACATAATTTTGCACAAAGTTGGACATAATTACCTCTTCTCCACTGCTATCATCTTCTTCATCTTCTGACATTTCCTCATCTTCACTGTCTTCTTCTACCTCCTTTGGAGGAGGAGCCATTTTTTTGGGGTCACCTTGAGTTTTACCAGCCTAAAATGAATATAATTAAAGCATTAACACACCCATCATCATTATCATGCCACTTGTTTTCTTATTCTCCATAGTAGAGTACAAACGTCTTCTAATTAGAGTTCATTTTTCATATAGTTAAGTATAACCAAAGTAAAGATCGTTTTTTAACAGCCAAGCATAATAGAAATTGGGGGATTCCCAAATGCTCACGTTTTTCAATTTTAATAACAGAAATCCAACCTTAAGATAAAGAAACTTAAAATATCACCTTTTCTGTTGCCTTTGTTAACCATGATCGTTTTCAAAACCTACCTTTCTATAATCTTCATACTAATTTTTGTTAACTTTCAAGTGGGCAATTTCTCCTTCAAGCTCTTCTTAGCCCTTCAGTATTGTATCACACTCGACAGAATTTAAGTTGCGGGTGAAAAACTTTAAGTCCTCTTTAAAAAAAAATTAACACTACTACCTTTGGTCTTCCCATAGCTTTCCTTTCTCAGAGAACCCGCCCCTTTCAAACCCGCCAGGCCACGTGGGGCACCTGGTAGATCACCATGTGCGCGCTGCCAGGCGCAAACCGCACGCGCAAGGCCTCCTTCCGGGACCCACCACGTGTCCACCCGCGTGGCCCAGGAGGAGGTCCCGAAAGCCGTCGGCCCTCGTACTAGGGCCAATCCCGCCACTTCCCGTGCCGGGGCGCCGGGTCTTACAGCCTCCAGGGCCCACGCAGCATGGCCCAAACGGCAGGCCAGCAGCCGGGGCACGTGCGTTGAGAGGCGGGGCCCAGCTCGCGGCCCTGGCAGGAGTTCGGCCTCAACGTCTGCCCGTAGGCCCAGCGGCCGCTGCCTGTGCTCTGGGCCTAAGCCTTTCCTCCGGCGTTCACCAAACCCCTCACCTGCCGAAGCTCTTCTCACCACCAAGTGGGCAAAAGACGCGAGACCTCTCCGCTAATCGCGCGAGACTTCCCACAGCATGGCGCCCTGGAACGCGCCCGGGACTGCGCGCAGGCCCTCCTCCCCGCGACGCGCGCGCGCGTTCCTCAGAAAGCAGGCCTCGAAGTAGCCGCCCGCGCGGGCGAGGCCTCTTACCTTAGCGAGCTTCACCATGATGGCGGCTTACGATGGCAGAGTGTGTGGCGGGCGGGTGGCGCAGATGAGTCTTGAGGAACTCCAGCGATGCTGATAGCGGCCGCAAGCACTAAAGATCCCAGAGCGCATACAGTTGGCGGCCAGCTACAGCTCGAGACTGAGGCGGAAGACTGAGCCTGCCCACTAATCCTTACATGATTTTTTAAATGCAAAAGTGCATCATGACTTGCCCAACAACCCAGTAGTTGAATTGGCATTGTTCTACTTTAGATGCACACATTCCTGGTGTTTCGGCGCCCTCGGGGGCGGGACTCGCTTTGTGCAAGGCGGGCGCTGATTGGGCCGTCGGCGCGCGGGCCCGCACTGCCCCTCCTCCCGGGCACCCAGGGCGCCTGCTCAGTGAGACTCGTACTTTTTGGCGCCGCGTGTGCTGGGAGCGTGGGGGTGGTAGACGGGCGGGCTCCTCTTCCTGCTTGAGGCCGGTTACTTCATTCTCCGGCCGCCTGGGAGTTCCTGCGGGACTCCACGCGCAGCCCCGGCCAGCACTCTACGCGAGTCTCCCGGCCGCCATAGGAAGGAGCCCCGCCGTCTTTCC